GCTAAAATCTCTCCAAAGGAACTACTTTAAATTAAAATTAAATCAATGCACATCACTGTTCCATCACCTGAGCCCTATCACAACCTCTTTTTGCCTGAGCTTGCTAGATCTTCTCAGAGAAGTTCGTCCATCCTCTGTCAAGACAGCCAGGGAGACACCCAGAGGAGGATTAAAAGGGCAGAGGGTATCCAGGTGCCATGGCAGTGCTGACAGAGGTAAAACCCACTGCAGAAAGGGAGAGTTCCCACCACAGCTCGTTCACCTCCAGGTCAAACCCCCCACTCCAGCCACAGCATCCTGCCCTGGGCACTCACGTGTCACCAGGTCAAAGCATTTCTTCTCCTCGGCGTGGGGTCGCACCTGGCAGGTGAGGAGGTTCAGCTTGACAGGGGGACGGTTTATCTGCAGGGTGAGAGGACAGAGGTGGGTTAGAGGACTGGGAAAGGGCGGAATGAGCAGCACCAAGGGATAGACATCTCCAACAGCAACTGTGGTGGGATAACCACCACCCTAGATGGTCCCTCTTGAAATAAGCAGGTGAGCTAGACTCTCTCTGACTCTTTGCAGGAGAACAGAGCTCTGAGATGTCCCTTACTCATGTTCTCTGTCCCCACTGCAGTTTCCAGCCTCCAACGCCAGGGGGCAGCACCTCCTGCCCAACCCACCTCAGCCTCCTTGGACCTGTCTGGACCCTCATTGCCCATCTCACTGCCCCAACCAAGCCCACCCTCCCCTCCTCGGATCCTATCAGACATGGGGGACTCCCTTTAGCACATCCAGTCCCAGCTTGCATTAAACTTTAAGCCAGGCAGATTTGCAATCGGTTTGGGCAAAACTAAACCTGAAATCCAACAGACACCAACACTCAAAAGGTGCACGAAGGGTCAGGGCTGCAGCCCCACTGCTCCTCACCGTGCTGTGGGAGATGGTCAGACAGCCATACTTCACACCACATTTCCTCTTCTGCCACACTTTGCGGATGCTGAGGAGGAGGAAGAGGAGGAGTGAGGATTGCACAGCCCTGATCGCCCACATCCACATCCCAAACCACCCACAGCAGCGCTCGGCAGAAGCCTGATGGTGTTCTGGCCATGAGGCTGTTCCTCCTGTAGCTCACAGAGCACAAAATGTCCTGGTGAGCCACGGGCTGTGGGATCCCAGCTCTGGGGCCTCCCGTGAACATCAACAGCATCAGGATAGAGCTGGGAGCTCTCTGGGACAACACTCATCCTCACCCATCGCTCTTCTTGTACAGGAATCCTGATTTCTCTGTCCCATACTGCTTGTTCCCTTGGTGCTGGTGGATGCTGTAGCCACTGCCAGAGTTCTTCCTGCTCAGATTTTCCTGAAAAAAAACATTCAAGAAGCAAAGTGAGAGGTGCAGAGGTGGCTGCTGCCCCAAGAGACCTCATCCTTATGTGGGTGCAGTGTCCAGCAGGTTGCCAGAGATGCCCATGCCCTTCCAGCATCCAAACATTTCCCAGGTCTCCTGCACTGCTCCCACGGATGCCTCCTTTGGTCCTCAGCTCCCCTTTCCCTGCTTCTCCCCATCCCCAACCTAACCCCAGGGGAAGCAGCACCTTCCCAGTGCTCCTTCCCAGCCCATCCCAGGGATCTCACCTCCTTGTTCTCCAGCTGCAGGATGCTGCGGAGGGAATCACGGGTCTGTGTGAGCTGCTTCACCTCCTCCTCCTGCGCTTGGTGGAGCTGCAAAGGGAGCAGCTGCCCTCACTGCTGTGCTGAGCACGGGTGTTCTCAGGGGCTGGCATGGGGACAGGGGGGTGGCATCCCTGGGGACACATCCAGGCGGTGCTGGATGGCAGTGTGGGGGACTTACCGCGTGGAGCGACACAGCGAGCTTCTCAATGAAGGGGTAGAGGTTCTGGGCAGCCTTCCAGCCGTCTTGGAAGAAACTGGGCATTTGTTGAGGGTGATTAAGATGCAGATGGGGAGGATGGAGGAAAAAAGAGGGTTTTTAGAGAAAATGTGGCAGGAGACCATGGCAACCCCCACCCTGGGAAGCTGCTCTTTCCTTCTGGTTCCTGAGCTCCTGGGATCAGGAGAGAACACACCAAAGGCCAAGCTCAGCCCATGGGGTCTGGATACCCCAAATATTTGGGGTTTTTGGGACGCAGGATTGGTCACTTGTTCAATTCCAGTGGGGACCAGCCCCACTGGAGACCATGTCCTGGGGGTTTCTGGGTCACAGTCCCAGCTGGGAACACACTCTCAGCCAATCTTAGACTGTCCCTTCCTGCCCCAGTTTCCCCACTCAAGAGCTGGAGATGACATGACACCCACATGCTGCTACTCCAACCCTATGGAACAACAGGAAAGGCAAAGGGATGTTGATCCTGTTTTCAAATACCCTTGTTATGAGCCCCACAGCTAATACTGGAGCCACTCAGCTGAACTCATCCCTGGAAATCTATCCAGAAACCGAATCATCGTATCTCGAGCCAACCCCTTTTCCCCAGCCCCATGGACACGTTTACAGCTCCTCAAGCCAACAAAGCACATTTCATCTCCTCAGATACAACCAGAGAGTGATGGGCTCTGCTCAGCATCTCCACCAACAGCTTTATGGAGCTGGGATGGGAGAAGGAACCCCCAGACCCCCATGGGACTTCCCAGGGAGTGACAACTGGCTCTGGGGACAAACCACCTTGACCCAGGTGGCACCTACTTGTGCTGAGCGTGGAAAAACTTGATGAGGCTCTGCAGGAAATCTGGTCCCTGTTTCATCTGCGACTCACTGGCTTTCAGCAGATACTGGAGGAGGAGAAGACACACAGTTAGGTGACAGAGACAAGGACCAGCTGAAAATATCCCAGAGGAAAGAGCAAGAGCCTGCCCAGCCCTTGCTTCCCTTCCCGGCACAGGGAGGAGGGTTAAAACACTGGCTGGGTTTCAAGAAGTCGAGTCACGATGTTGGATTTGAAAGCAGCTCACAGGGGACCACCCTCAGAAAACCTGGCTCTGGAAGTCCTCCAAGCCTTGGAAAGTTCAAGGACCAAGGCAAGCCTCCGGGATTTCCAGCCAAGCATGCTTCTCCCGCTGCTCATTACTTCTGGAGTTAATAAATAACCAAAACTCAAGGCAGCTTGTGAAGCAGAAAAAAAAAGAAAAAGTCCTGAACATTTTTGAAGACATGACCCTTTTATTCCCAAAAAATGAGATTCCAAGCAGATAGCACCTGCAGCACACCAGCCCTGGATGTCTGCCGAGGTGTCCCGTGGGATGAGGAGCTTCAGCTTTAGGCATCAAACCCATCCATCAGCTGCAGGCAGGGAAGGAAAGACCCAGAGTCTCTGCTCACCCTGAGCAAAATAAGGAGGGGAAGAGATTTTCCCCCTGCAAGTTCCTCTCCAGCTGCTGGAATGGTTTTGAGCGGGAGGCAAGAGGAAGGCAGCACTGAGCTCCAGGGGCTTTCCATGGTGGGATAAAGCACCTGGAACGAAGTCTTCTGGTGCCCTGAGCACTCTGGACACCCCTACACAGCAAGGGGCAGGGGAGGGTTGTTAAACTGCTCTGTGCAAGCCAGCACAGCATCCAACCTGGAGCACAACTGCACTCCTGAACTAAGTCCCAGCTGGAAAAGGCCACACATGCCCATCTCCCATGGGATGCCTCAGAGTGATGGTGGCTGGGAAGAGTCCCAGCCAGTGCTGGCTGAGACCCACGAGCAAAGGGATGCTCCAGCACTCACAGCCCTGGGGGTGCCCATGACGGGGACACACAACCACCTCACGGGGTGAAACAGGACCATGCTCCCAACCCAGGAAGCAGGAAAACGCATCTCCCTGTAATCTCACATGCATCACACCCCCACAGCCCTGGCCAGACCCCCAGAAGAGCTGCCCCCTGCCATTTCCAGGGCCAGCAGCAGCTCTCATGCACACGGGCAGCCGCCGTGCCCAGCTCCAGCTCCAGCTCTGCTCCCTCCTCTCCGTGTGCTGTTATTTATCCCACAGTGAAGCTATTCAAGGGAGTGACTCATCTGGCTGTGTCCCAGCTCCCAGCAGGCACAGCCTCCTCCCCACACCCCTTGCCCTTTGCTGGGGAGGGCATAGGGTGGCACTGGGCTCTGATGGTGCTGCCTGGCCCTCAGGAAAATGGGAGACCCCTGGGACAACCCACTGGGGATTTGTTCCCTGCTCTGTCACACTCAAGAGGTTTACCAGGGTGCTGAGTGTCTGGAGTCAGGACACCTGTGACCCTCCTTGCTGTGGGGTTCCAAAATTGGGTCTACATCCTTCATCTCCTCCCATCTCACCTCCTGAGCATGGACTCATGGCACTGTCAGGGATCTGGGGTCATTTGTGAGCCCCCTAACCAAAACCAGGAGCAGTTTTGAGAAGAGGGCAAAACCACAAAGCTAACCTCAGGGATGTCAGCCAAAAAGCTCACTTGTGACCCCAAATGCCACCCAATGAAGGGGTAGGAGCAGGGGTGGGAGGATGCAGTGGGACTCCAGGTGTCTCACTGTAGCAAGGGGTGACTTTCCTGGGGGACCTCATGGGGCACCACAGGTGCCATTTGCAGCTGCAACTCACAGGGGACCCAAATCTGGGGACAAGGTAGGGATCCCTGAGCCAGGACCATGCAAGGACACGATAAGATGGGGACAGGAAGAGTACCACACAGCACCCACGTGGGGCTGTTCTGGTGCTGGGGATGGGGACAGGCTCTGATGTCCACACACAGCTTTGAGCAGAGCAGTCCCTTGTGTCCCCCTGAGGCTGAGGAGTCCCTGAATCTGCTCAGCACAGTCCCTACCTCACACATGTGGAGTTGGAAGAGCCTTCGCTCCTTCTGCATGTCCTCAGCCACCTCTGCTGCTGTCATCTCAGCCTGGATGACCCCAGCCAAGCGCGCTCGCTCCTTCTCCTTCTCCATCTTCCCCCTGTGGAATGGGACAGCAGTGGATTAGGGACATCTCTTCTCTGAGGAATGTCCCATGCAGGGGACAATGGTGGGGATGGGATCAAGAGAAACATCTCTGGCCCTTCTAGCTGGGAAACGCTGGACCAGAGCCTTCCCAATGGCAAACAGGCACCATCAGTGCCCAGCTCCAGACTGGGGACAAAACACCTTTGTGCAGAGCAGGATTAGGTGGATTTTAGTGGAGGCAGCGTGTTCCTTACACTTTGGTCTCATAATCCTTCCAGGCCTTTTCAATCTGCTTCTTGGAGTCCTGTGG